CTTTTAAATTTGTGTTTATTCAAGTTAAAACACATTTCTGAGCTGGTGCGAGGAACACACACAGTCTCTATTGGTTTAAAAAGTGAACTCTGTTGTACTTTGTTAAGTTCCAGATGCATAACTGAGTCAGCACAGTTCAGTGGCAGGACTGTCGTTACACTGCCAGACGGACAGGGGTCAGTGTTTGCACCACAGTACTCACCCGGTGCTGGTAAGGAGGAGGAGGAGGGGGGGGGGTGGGGGCCGAGAAGCCTCAGATGTAAACAGTCACGCCCCCCTCGGGGAGCACTGAACAACATGGCGTAGGAAGTCCGTCAACAAACTGGTGCCGTATCTGTTCGGGTGCAGACCATCTGGACGATAGGCCACGTGACGCTTCCAGAACAGGCCAAAGTTGTTCACAAAAATAAAGTTAAAAGTGCTGCATGTAGACTGGAGCCACATGTTGAGCGCCACAACGCGACTGTAGAGGCAGTCACCCCGGTTTACAGTCGGGACTGGACCAGAAATAAAAACGGATAACCCGGAGGACTGGAGGAGGCGGAACAGATCCATAAAGTGCTTCTTTGTGACCTCTGACTGCTGCAGCTTCATATCATTTATACCCACATGCACGATTACCTTGGATATGGTATCGGGCAGGGAGTGAAGCAGAGGAGGGAGACGGATGAGCAGATCTGGGACAGTAGCTCCGGTAATGCAGTGAGTGACCGCGTTAAAAAAGCGGACGTGCCTCACGATGGAATCTCCAACAATCAAATAAATGTATACTTGTATTTACACATCTGTAAATAAATCTAGAACACTCTCTAAGTCAAGAATATGGAAATGGTAAGTCTTTAACACTGTGATGATACTACAGTACACGTAATAAAACCAAGAATATTATAAGTCTGTTTGCTACCCAAAGAACATATGAACACATACCACTCGTTACATTCATTTTGTGTATTTTACATACACATACAGTAGCACACACTTATGTATTTACATCACGTAAACAGTATTTACCATATGTTTGGATACCTTTTTAATAGTTTTTAGTTGTTAAATGGTAGAGACCCCACATACACCAGGTGGTTAGTGTAGTTTTATTTATTTTAAACTTTAACTTGTTAATTTTTTTTTTTTTAAATTCAAGTGTATAGTATAGCTTTGAGTATTAGGATATTATTCAGAGTTTTGCCAAAGCTCTGTAATGCTGTGACTCTTGAGGGTGATAAGAGCAGAGGTCTGACAGACAAAACAAACACGAAGGCCAAACGTAATAAAGTGTTGAATCTTCCCATTTTGTGGATACACATTTTTCTTTAATATTATGAAGGTATTTAGAATAGTTTAATAGATTTAACAAAGTTTGTTAAGTTAACAATTCAGGTGGTTTTTCCAACACATTAGAAGGTATATGGTAATTTTCCAGAGGGAGTTTGTTTTAAAAAATTAGGAATAATGCCTTGGGGTTCAAATTAACCTTGCAATTAAGACTGCCAGTTAAAACTTAATTATAATGGAGAATCATTTCAGAAGAGACTCAAATGTCTGGCGGACCACAATTGGCCCACAGGCCTGGTGTTTGAACACCTGCACTGCACCATAAGAGGACAGGCCCTAAGTTGATCGTAGCTCCTTTTCAATTTAAATATTTAGGTTTTTTTTAAAAACAAAGGTCTCCATGAGTTTTCATCTTGATACACAATCATCAAAACACTCAAAGTTTATTTGATCTTTAGGATATAGGTTGTTGTTTTACCATAAGAGAATAATTAGTTAGTGAGGCCTGACTTGTCTGAGAGACTTGCAGAGGAGAGCAGACAGCAGCAGAATGCACTTATCTGCTCTCCAAGGCCGGAGAGAAGAGTGTTTTGAAAACTCAAACTGATAACCCATGAGTAGAGTTATATGGAGACCATTATTATTATTATTATATAGACTGAGGCTAAGCCCTGGCAGCGCAGACCTAGAGGACAGGCTAGGTAGGGGACAAATAACCCTTTTGCCAAAACATTGTTTCAGAAACGTGACCAACCCCTCCATAAGGATGGATCACATCTCCAAGAGGGAGACACAGAGCGCCATCACGCCTTGGCCACGGGGGTCGAGCCAGAGGAGGGGTCTGAGTCCGGCGAATGCCAGGAGGAGCCCTAACCAAAAGTGCCGGGGGCACCCCACCGTGAGGGTCGACGCCCCATCATGGGTCCAGCCCACCGCAGGTGGACCCCAGCTGCCCAGAGCCAAAGGGGACCAACGAGAAGGGTCTGAGGACCTTCTCCAACGCAAGGAGGCAGCGAAGAAGTGGGGGCGGCAGTGCCCGACTTCCAACGCAGAAGTGGAGCCGAAGCAGGAAGGCTTGCTCCCCAACGGCCGAAGGAAGGGACCACCTTGAGGGTCCCCACGACAAAACTTGGTCTGCCTTCTGACCAGGTGTTACACAGACAGAAGCTCTGAGCCATGGGTCAGGTACATTGTTCCCCGCTTTTTCACGCAGCGGAGTCAGAGACTGGGACAATCGGCTGGTCTGACCTGGAGGCCGGGACGCCCACCCCAAGGATGGGGGTGGACTGAGAGAGGCTATCTCAGCATTGCGTCAAAACGGGCTTTTGAAACTGTTTTGTGTACGTTTCAGGATTAGCACAACTTAGCATTGGTTTGTGGTACACATACATGCTAGGGTTTTCAAGCATTGACAATCAGGGCACTAACTCTGATGCTCCCACCCACTCTGACCCCATGTGGAAAGCACAGGAGGTCAGAAAAGTGTGAGGCATCCATGTTTAAGGTTAAGTGTTACAGATCTAATGACAAAGCATTAGACCCAATAGATTGGCTTGGACCTGGAACCATCTTTGGACCAGGTCTATTTTAAATCCACATACTCAGGTTCTACTCTCAGGGAGAGAGAGAGTGCACCCAGCACTGCTGGAGTGTGTACTGTGCGGGCACAGCGTCGATTCTGGGAGAGGTGAGGGTCGGCTGATGACCCATCGGGTCCAGTAACGCCTCGTCTCCCCTGGGCAGACGTCTGTGACCCAGTCAGGTGATTCATCTAAGCAAGTATATAAGTGTGGGTTTTAATATTGAAATAAAGTTAGTTAACTATTGTGTGTGTTTGCTCAAATGTTCAGATTTTGTGTTAATTCATAATCATTGTGATTTCTATTATTATTTTAAGTTGATTAAGATAAACCAAGGTTTTATATTTATCAAGAGATAGGATTGTTATAGAAATATTTTAGTAAAGCAATCTGAATTAACACCTAATAGTTATGAGTGTAAGTTATTAACTAATAGTCAACTCTGGATTCAGATACAGGCCATAGTGCTCTGTTGGCAGCAGGTCAGTGATAGATGGAGACGTGCTGCATCATGTCTTTGACCTGGGTCATAGAACAATATGTTCAGTTCAAAAGCAGATTGTTACATATATCAGAGTTGTATCAGCGTTAGGACGTGTAAAGAGAAGCCTTGAGCAACACATCAATGTTGACTTCATTTATGTAATATCTAGAGTAGATATGTGTTTGTTTACTCTGGTCTATTTAATGTACAGTTATTTCCTCAATCGGGGCAGTCGATTTCAGACGGCTGCCCGGTGGTATTGGTATCGGTTCTGTTATTCATTGTAATTGTGCACATTTACTAATGAATAAACTCACACTTTGTTTGGAATTACAGCTCTGGGTTGTTTACATTATTTTACTCTTGTTATGTGCAGTAATTCTACAACAGTATACAAAAGTAATGTGTTATATTTATGATTCAATTGAATTCCATTTTTTCTGGTGTAGTTCTAAATAACAACAGCAGTTATCTCAGAGGACTTAAAAGCTGTCGATTTGCCAAGACAGATCAGAGAATCAACAGTTCAAACACAGGAAATGCAATGATAAAAAAAACATAGAGCCATTGGTCCATAAGGGGCAGATGACCACTGTCCATAAATGTCATTGAATGTCGAGTGTCCTGGATCACAACCACTGTCCTTAGACCCTCCTGCATCGGCAAGAAAAAACTGAGAAAAAACTGAAAATGAGAAATCTCAAGGAAGCCAACATTGAGGGAAGGATCCGCTCGCACGGACAGATGAGCTATAGATCCATGACTCAGACTGTAGAACGAGGACCGAGGCCACGTGACGCAGGACTGAGGCGGCTCCCTGCAGAGGAGGGGGTGCAGCCCACAAGTCCGGGCCAGGGAAGACTTTGTTTGCCAACTATACTGAACATGGTTTGTCACAGATTAATGATAAAGCTGGGGTACCTAATTTTTCTTAATCCATACGTTTTTCAAAGAGTAAATCATACAACAACATGCTGTTTTCATCTTATTAGAAAGCATTATCTTTTGCACGTTTGTTTGAAAGACTTCGCTGTTTGATGCTATGGTCTGATTGGCTGAGTGAGGGCGGTCCTCTCTTTTTCACTTTTCCATCAACAAATGCTGATCTAAAGATGTGTCATAGAAACTGTTTTGGAGCCAGGAAAGGAACTAATTAGATGCATTTGATTTTGCTTTGAAAGTTACATACCACAGCTTTAAAGTGGTTCTCACCCCCGCTCCTCGGAGCTTACGTCACTCACATTTCCTGTTCAAATCTTCCTCTAAATGGGCGTAGCCTGGAGGACTAAAGGGGGCGTGAACGAGACTGGGCCGTTTACATAGCTCTGGGCGGGGGGCTGCTGACGTCAGGTCTTGCTTCAGACGTCAGGTCTTGCTGCCGCGCCAGTGTTGGCGCCAGATTCAAAATTCAAATGTAATAATACAGGTCGCCAGCAGATGGCGCCTCACTGACGGTTTTAGGCAGAAAGTTTAACTTTCAACTAATTTGCACCAAAGTGACAAAATTATGACGAGGATATGTAGACAAGACTATTGGACATTCATTTATACCGTTTATCAGCAAAAAAAAGTGGATTTGAGGGTGAGTTGTCCTTTAAGCCATTAGATAGCTAGTTGCAAAATGTTGACTATGCAAATTTGATAGATCGATAGATATTTTGTTCTCAATTTACCTCGTGCTCCGTAATGAAGCGTCTCTCCATCTTCTTCTTGCATTTGCTGCATCGAACCTGTGAAAGTGGGATTTACATTTGTACAATTGTTTTGAAGTTGTTGCTAAAATAATTAGTCGTAGAAAATACACGCTGAATGTGATATACGGTCTTTCATTCAATATCTGAATCCCAAACCCCTGACCTGCATGAGGAAGCCTGAACACACGATGACCTTAGTAGTTAAGCAAGACAGGACCTGGTGAGTGAGTGATGGGAGACCACAAGTGCTACACTGTTGTGACTGTGGCTGTAAAGTGCCAGACTGTCATAGTATCAGTTGCTATTATGAATCTAGTGTGGGCCATGAGGAGTCTCCCAACAGTTAATTCAGATTCAGATTTATTTATTTGCCATTTGCAGTAAAACCACATTGGAAAAACTGTGCAAGACTACCCTAGTGTGCACCAGACAGAGAAGACGGCACAGACCAGAGCTCTTGCCACGGCGCCATCTGTACGGCGCCATGCGACAAACAGTAGAATAAACAGCAGAGAGCAATAACACACAGTTTCACAGACGATTGGATAGACACAGTGTGCTTTGTGTAAAACAGAGTTTTTTCATGGGATAAGCACCTCCGACCGCCTGCCCAATGTGGCTGTCAGAGGGGGCGGGGACAGGGAGGGGGCAAGCCGGAGAGACAGTAAGGAGTGAGAGGGACTAACGTTGTAATAGCCTGGTCGTACCACACCATAGTACACATTACATTTCGTACTAAGGTCTGGAGGAGGTGGGAGGGATTAACTCCTTTTGCAGATTGAAACATTCCTCCTACTCCCGCTTCAATTTCTTGATAGAACCAGACTGGAATGCTTTACTATCTAATTCTTCGCCATTGCCAAACTACAACCTGCTCGTTTGACGCAAACTCTTGACATCACCCACAACTAACTACAACACCCGCCTCCCGCGCTCGCTTATTGGTCGAATGGAATTCAAGCGATTGTAATCGCTAACACAGGGACCAGACCCAGACGTTACATGCAGTGAAATGAAGATTGAGCGGAGTGTACGGATGGATACGGCCAGGCTAACGTACAGACACAGAGATAAAAAGTATAAGTTGTGTGACATAAAAAATAACATAATTTATAGATCAAGAGTAAGAGAGTTTCCTCGCCATGCACTTGTTTTGTTAGTCTTTATTTAAAAAGGACAGTGCACTTTAACATTAAGCTCAAAGACCAACATGTTCTACACTTGATTATAGCTACACTCACATCTTCCATTCTACACACACACAAACACACACGTATACACGCTACATGAATACGGTACACACTGGGGTAGTCTTGCACAGCGACTTCAATTTGGTTTTACTGCAAATGGCAAATAAACGGAAGTGTGTGTGTTGCTCCTCCTTATGCTCTTTACATTACACACACACACACACACACACACACACACACACACACACACACACACACACACACACACACACAGACACAGACACAGACACAGACACAGACACAGACACAGACACACAGACACGCTGCAGACCTTTGTGTGTTGCTCGTCCTTGTGCTTCTGCAGCTCAGACTTGGGGACGCTCTCGTCACATGCGTCGCACACACACAGGAAGCGGCTGCAGTGCGACTCATGCAGCGTGAAGTTGGACTCGGCCACCTCCGATTTACTGCAACACGACACAACAACAAACTCATCAAACTCACCTCAGGAACAATGTTAGCACTGAGTCTGCTTCATTCATTCTACACAACTTTATTTATACAGGAGAACAACACAGAGACGACTCTATGTGTTCAGCAGTTATATAATGTAGATTAACTCGTTTTTCCTTTTAAACCCTTCAGACAGTAAAGAACGTGTAGCAAAGTATGATTGGAATTAACATGGATCTATAATAATATATTATAGATAATATACTCACTGCACAAGAAGCTACAGTAGCCACAGCTGCCTATGGGACGGACTGAAGGGTGCCTGTTTTATATAGAATTTTATTTCTTTAATTTTGCATGTGTTTGAATGAAATGTGCCGTACAATGCAACTTTATTATGATGATTTTTATTATTATTACAACTGCAGCATTTATAAATGCAAGTTAGATTTTTTTATGCCTTATTCTATTCTTTATTGTTTTACTTGTTTTACTTGTTTGCACCAAGAGGAAAAGCAATTTTCTAGTTTGTGACTTCTTGTTAATCACATTGCAATACAAAAATAAATCTAATTCAAATATGGAATGATATATCTACTAAATGAAAGATTGGAGGACTCTACAGGGGTTTGAGAAATATAGAAAAACATGAAGTGCGCTTGGTGAGAACACTAGAGCTCCCGCAGCAGTCAATGTGACGGCTTTTCATTTGTGTAATTACTCAGCTGATGTACAGTTGTGCCTTTTTCTGTTTTTATATGTAAGGGACTGGACTGGTTCTGGATGTCTGGACCGGTTCTGAGCTTGGTTTTCCAGCAGAAAAGAGCAAGAGGTTGTTACCATAGCAACACCCTAATTACATGTAACGTTTTTTGTTGCTGTATTTCTAGTTATCCATCCATGGGGTGGCTGTCAGAGCTGCACCCAGTCACAGAGCACCAGCCCCTCACTGATCCTCCTGCAGGTGGTGAGTCCACAGGAGCTGAGATCTTTCAGTGGGGGCTTTGGGCAAAGTGGGGTTAAGTGTCTTGCCCAAGGACACAACAACAGCAGTCATCAGCGGGAGTCGTGAAGTAGGTCTTACGGTGGGCTCGAACCCACGACCTTCAGGCCCAAAAGCCAATGCTATTGGCCTTTGGGTATTTCTAGTTATTCACCAGATACAAAATTGCACTGTACAAATAAACTTGCCTTTCTTTGTTTAAATTACATACTTTTGATACAATTAGTGGACAAGGATAACCATTGGTCTGGAAGTCTGAGTGTTAAAATAAATATAATAATAAATTACTTATATACGTATGTGAGTAAATCTAATAAGCTAACAGTATTACAGTTATGCTAACCTATTTTCAGATGTTATTGTTGAGAGGTTACATCATTTCCTGAATAATTACCAATACTCTTGATTGTTTAACTATATACTGATTATGTCTTTAAGTTATGGCTAATGGAAAGTTATATATTTGTTTAGAATATTCAGAATGACACGTGTAAAATGTCAGTGGTCCTGCTGTATCTCCCTGCTGTCTTTCATGTCAATAGGGCGTGTGCCTGTCACAAACTTTAAACCCAATACTTTTGTTCAACTTTCAGATCCACTCCAAACATGAGACTCACCATCGGCCGCACACACGCGTCTCTTCTTCCTCTGCCATGACGTGTGCGGGGTTTTAACCAAAAAAAATCGAGTCCAAACTGCTGCGTTGTGTCACAGTGAAATATGGACTTTGGCAGTTTCAGTTCAGTCCAACAGAAAGCGAAAGTTACAGGTGTAGTTTCCTTGACAGCCACCAGAGGGCGACAGATGGCTAAGATTTGATTTCTGACTTAGTGCCTGCTGTGAATGAAATGTGTGACATATTTTCGGGTATAAAATAGCAAATAATGATAATATTATTACTATTAACAGCAGCAGAAGCAGTTTTAGTTGTGTGGTAGTTTAAGTAGTGTAGTTTTTATAGTAATAATACAAGTAAATAGTAACGTGATCTTCATTCTTCAATTATGAATCAATTGTAAAGCACAAAGCATAAACATATTAAAAGGAACAGTTTATGTTTTCTATTTAATATCAGTTTTTACAATTCACATATAGCAACAATTACATACTGAGGTCTTAATACAGTAGGTTGTGATCACGTTTATTTCATTTGGAAGCAGGTGCCAATTTATAATGAATGGGAAAGAAATATAAATGTCTAAATGTTTTCCCAGATTATTATTTGATTGTAATTAGCTTCACAAACCTGCCATATTTTTGTTTTGTCTGAAAGTCCTGTCTATTCGCCAACATCATGCATATGTTTTTGAGCGTTGTCAGCGCCTCTAGACATGTTTATAAGAAAAATAATTAGCCCCAAGTTGATGTGTTCTGACAAAGAAGATGTGGAACTGTGTGACAGTTTTTTCATTCATGTGGATTAGTCCAGGAAATACAGAAAAATAAGCGTTAGATTAAGACCACTAATCTGACTTTTGACAGTTGCCGTAGTTACCAGTAAAGTACATGTTAAACTATAGAATCTTTGTCATGTTGTGATCTCACTTGATTGTATTATATAATTCTTCGTTCCACAGAGTCCTGGATCCATTGCCTGGTCGTCCGGGGGAATGGACAACCAACCCTCCCTGAGTTTTTCCTTTTCTTTCTGGGTTTGTTTGAGTCGTTCCTTGTCGATGCAGAAGGGTCTAAGAACAGTGGTGATCCGGGACATTTAAGAACATTTATTAACATTATGGACTTTTTATTTTTATTTTTATTTTTTTCCCCGGACGGACGAGCAAGATGGCGCTGCAGTAAGAGTTCTGGTGTGCACTTTCTGTTCCATGTTGTTTTAAAAGCACTTTATATAATCTTGCCTTTGTATTGAAACTGTTATAAATAATTGATCCATCTCACAGTGTCAAATATTCATGTACTTGCCTTGTTCACACTAGGGACTTTAGCGGATGTATTCCAATGGAGTTTTACTGCAAATGGCAATTAAATTATGTGTTTTTTTATCATTGCATTCCCTGTGTTTTTGATCTGTTTGATTCTCTGATCTGGGTCGGTGAATCCACAACTTCCCCATAGATAACTGCTGTCGTGATTTAGGCCTGTACAAAAACAATCAAATTGAACAACATACTCACACGCAACCGTGAATTTTAGGCCACATATTCAAACAAATATCATGCTTGAATACATTTGCTTTATGGTCTATTGTCCTTTTTCATTGAGCAATTTAAATTTCCAGGCGACGTCAAGCCAAAGTGAGGCTGATTCTCTCTGAGCTGAGCCAAGTTATTAACACATTTGGCTTCTTTACAAAACCCAAAACACGGTACATTTTATCACCAAAAGATAGAATATTTTGTGAACTTGAAAAACTCTGAGAAAATCTGAATGGTATGTTTTTAAGGCGCTGATGGAGTTTGCCTGTTGGAGCGTGTAAATATTTAACTTCGCACTTTTGTTAATGCTTATTGCTTTGAAACAGTAAACAGGTTTGGCATTAGGACTATTGTTCACTGCATTTGCTGAGCTCATTATAAACTCTTCATTATGTATTTATGAAAATGTTTATGTGCTTATTTTCCAATCCACAAACAATGAGTTCTGGGGACAAGCCAAGAGAGCGCCGGGTGCAGAGGCCAACGCTGTATTCAGACAAAGTTAGTCCAAAAGTTACTCAATTATTACACTATGTGACAAACGGGTGATTGGTTTATGATTTATGTTTGAATATTTGGATTCTGTTCGAAGTGCATAATCAAAACATGAGCAGGAGATGTGATATAAGACTGAAACAAATGTTCTGATCCATACTTTACTGTTAATAAAGGTTTTTACAAGGTGTTTTCTTTTTCTATATAACAAGGGAAAACTTCTGAACAGCTTTAAAAGTGGAGTCATGTGTCCAGCCAAAGATCTATGCAAAATATATTTAGAATAGCTTTTCTCTCTGTATCTTAACCATAGTATTGGTGAATGAACTGTTGATTAGCGTCATGCACAGAAAAAAGTGCTCAAAGATAGCTTATCTATACAGTATCTTTATGTATCTTAATTTCAGCGCAATTTGACTGCCTTAGAACAAAATTTGCCAATGGGACAAAGCAAAATTACCTTGTTTGAAAAAGATACAAGAAATCTCTCCCTTGGAATTAGAAAATAAAGAAACGGTTCTTGAAATAAGACTAAATGGCTTTAGTCTAACCCTAATGGTCAGAATGTTCTCAAATTAAGAGAATAACCACTGGATTCAAGCAATTACTTCCTCATATTTTATAATCTTTTGCAGTGTAGCACTTCTCTATTTCAGTACATTTGATTGCTCAAACATCATAAGTAACAACACTAAAACACTATTTATTTTATTTAAAGATTTTTGATAAAGATATAGACGTTGAACTAGTAATTCTGCACCGATCCACAACTTGGGGAAGTCTTTCGTCCATTATTCTGATTCCAATGGACAAGTCAAAGGTTGGTTCTACATATCTTGTGCTGTGTGCTTCTCTTTCCTGTTCTGTAACTTGTGATGCAACACTGAAATGTCCCCGCTCTGGGACGAATAAGGGATCTCTTAATCTTACCAGTCTGTTCAATTTCCCCTTTTACGCTAAAGAAAATGTGTTAAAAAAAAATACTGTATTCAAGCATTGTGGAAATGTGTTATCTGCCTTCTCTAAACCCTTTTTAAAAAATCACACATTTTAGGTTAATTTTGTTGAAGTAACTAACAAAGGCAGATAATACCGTATATGAGTTTATGAGTCTATATTTGTAATGCATCAGTTTGCTTTATGTTACTTTTTCTGGACTCTCAAAGTGGCTTCACACAGCATTATTCACTCACCTCGGACACAAAATGGTGGAAAACATACAACAGGGTTCAGTGTCTCGCCTTAGGACACACTGACAGTTTGGCACGGTACAGTCTCAATAACATTAAGCATAGATAGACTATTCCATCTACTCGAACATGCATTTGATTAAGAGTCAGAGCAAAAGGACACAGTGATCCGTTGTGTTTATTGTTGACATAACCCAGCGACTGACAGCAGAGAGAGAGAGAGAGAGAGAGAGAGAGAGAGAGAGAGAGAGAGAGAGAGAGAGAGAGAGAGAGAGAGAGAGGTATAACATGCAGATCATTGAAATCACTGTACAACCATAACATCTGATAGACTCTGCACTGTACAAAGACTTTTCACATTCTGTACAAGCGTATTTATAAGATTGTGTGCCAATACACCATCAGCCAAAACATTATGACCACCACGGACATGGAACCATCTATTTATTCTGACTGAGAAAATGCATGTAGAAAGGACTAAATGTATCCGATATTGGTCAGGATTTGACCCTGAGGCATTGTTAGCACAGGTCTTTGTGGGGAGCTCACGGGTTAGACTGGTCCATGGGATTCAAGTCACTTTCCTTATATGTTTTTATTATTATTATTATTATATGTTTATTTGATAGGGACAGCTAATTCTCAGACCTGGCACCTTTCAGTTCAATCGCTTTCATCCCAAATATTGAGCTGCTCATTTCGACCGAAAGGAATTAACTAATTTGGAACAAGCTCCGGTGGCAAACCAATACCTCTTAAGAGTTTGACCCAATCACAGCTGCTTAGGTCTTGCACTGAGGAGTCATTTCCACATTGGCAAAGCAACACAAATATATACGGTTTAACTTTGTGGCAATGATTAGAAAAATATCTACAATTTCTTCTGATTTTTTTGGACGATCAGTTCATTTCACCCTGTCAGTTTGTTTCTGTCAATCAAAATCATATCTATGGCTAACAGATAAGATCCATATCAATTGTTTGCCTTTCTTTTGCATGACAAAAAAATCACGTAAACTTCCACCTTTGCATTATCAGTGAATTTTAGAATTGTGAAGAGAGATAGAAGCTTTATGAAGACACACGCTGGTTAGACTCATCCATACTAATCCTAACCCACGCAGCCTCCTGATTGGTCAAATTTTATTCAAAAAAGTTGAGGCTCCTTGTTGTTGGTCTAACTCTTCTCAAGACAATCTTACTGGTCAAAGTTAAAAATACTTGCTACGCATAATAGTACAGTGTCCCATGGTCAGAAATATACTTATTCTTTTGAAAATGAAACACATCCAGAGTGGCTGAGATCACCTTTAAATAGAATCAAAATGACTTGGAGTTGAATCTATAGGTAAAGCTATAGTCAAGCCTCATTCCATGTGTTATAATCACAGCTGAAACAAAGTGTGTTCAGACTGTATTTATCAAGGACAAGTGTTGCTTGTCCAGTCACTGTTACGGCCTTAACAACCAATTTAGTTTGTTTCTCTAATTGAGAACATTTCCTGCTTTCAGTAAATTGGAAAGTGACTGTCTGGTTTGTTTCCAATACTCTAAAGCTGTAGGTCAAAAATACACAAAAATAAGTTGTTTAATTTAGTGAAATAATAAGCATGAATCTTCCTACCGGCTTTCACATATCGCCCTATACATTTACATACATTCAAGGTGACATTTGGCAAAAGGCTCGAATCTCACTGTAATATGGCACTGGATGTAGACAATGGAGTTACAACAGTTGCATATGGGACTGCATAATCGCTGGGTGCTCGTAATGTCACGGCTAATACGTGCATTTTACGATTTTTGAATGTACATGTTTGCAAGGGTTACATTAACTGCGTGTATAATTCAGTTTGGGAGTAAAATGTTTTCTTTAGCAGCAATAAACCACAATAAACTTCCATTTTTCGGTTTGGTTGTCGCGTGTGAATATAGACATGACATGAGCATCTTTCATTTGGTGCAACGAATCCTGAGAAACAACCACCTCCACGTTAAAAAAGGTCTTAAAAATCGTACAAACACTCACTGTTACAAGAGACCAATTTGCAGGCAAACAGTACAACAGTCATCATGGGTATTCTCACCGTTGGCCAGAAGGGGGCGACACTATCAAGGAATTTTCATAAAAGAGTTCCCACATTTTGGCAGGCACCAGACACGACACTTCTTGACCCAAAGTTCATTCACTTTCAACGCCCAGAGGTGGCATAGAACTGCATATAATTAATATATTTGTGATCGGCGAGGAATTTTCAATAAATGAGGATATTGGTAGGTCACTCAATAAGGGGGAAATAAAGAATGAATCGAGCTGACCTGGCATTTTATCCTATTTATTGAACTAGATAAAATGGAGACAGACGCGTAAATATTTGTGGTATTTGTGTGATATATCTGCTACGATACAAAAATAGATGACTTCGAAATAATATGAAATGTAGAAAAATATATCGGTGAGGTATGTACATGAAAGTGCTGTACAGTCATACAGAGATGGGTTTGAGGGTTTGGATAAAAATGGGCAGATCCAAAGAGGTCCATCGGTGTCGTTCTAGTCCCTGGTTGAGTTCTGCTGACACCACGAAACAGTTCTCGACTTCATTTATCCGTGGGGGCTTTTTGGAGCGACGATGTGTGGTTTAGTAGATAAGTCCTGGTTGAGTTTTCTTCATCCGGTTTGTCTTGGTTTTTTGCTCTTGGTTTCAGTTCTTGTTGTCACCAGACGGAGCATTTCTCCGGTGGGTTCATGGGGGAGCCTTTGGGACAGTGGAAAACCCTGGAGAACTCGTCAAACTGGGAGACACTGCCGATCACTCTGCAAGAAGAGAAAAGTGAGAAATTGATATTAGACGCCATTTTTCACGTTTTTTAGACATAGGGAGAGGACAGGGGAGAGATGATCTTGTTAGCATTTACTGTTGTATTTTAGCAGTTTATATAGTACTTTAGACGTTTATGATTAGCAGTTAATATAGCAGAGGATAAAACCAGAATAAAGTTCAGTAATAATAGTATAGTGACTAGTAAATTATCTGAAGATTTTTTAATTGTGAAAATATATATCAATTATGTCAAAATGTGTACAGCATGCTTCTGTTTTCAACATCTGCGCTGTAGAATCTAGTGTAGATGTGTTTATAGAGAGGCAGTATTGCTCTAAACTCATTGACCTCAGGTATTTGTTAAATGTTGACACGTGAATGAAAACAGGATTGTGTTTCGACATGTGCTGTATATAAAATCTACAACAAATGGAACTACAACAACATCTCAGCTTCTATAATACTATGCTAGTATACTGTATCTATTCTTGGGTTTCATATGACATCAGGGCAGTGGCGTGAATAACAGACGTGGGACCAGACGTGACGTATCCTGGCGCTGCAGTTTGCCGGGTTTATACACGGAGATATAGTAGAAGAAGAAGTGCTGTCAAAATGGCATCTTTTTGTGCGGTGTACGGTTGTAGCAACAGCGCAAATAGAGAGAAAGAGAAGAGTTTCTTCCGTGTTCCAACTGTGGTCTCATATAAAGGAGGACACTTTGAAAAAATCACTTGATGACTCAATGAGGCGGGTGGATCAAGACTTTCCCAGATAAGCGCCCCCTGCAGGCCACCCGAATTAAATGCAGCAATTTCTTCTGTTTTTCTTTCCAAAAATGCCCAAAATCAAGACAGGGACAACCTTAGAATTGAGTGTCCCCGATTAAGACTGTTACAACAACCGTACACCGCACAGGATGAGAGCCTTTGACTCCAAAACAGACACGATTTACATGGTTTTCAATGGGAGCAAAACTGAGTTGTCCCACCTCTGCTCATTCGCCCCCTACTGGCCAGTTTAATTAAACCCAAGAACACAGTGGTGAGGCTCACACTGTTTACTTTGACTGGGTCCCTTCTGGTTCATTAGATTGTGTTGCTACGACTGTAACTGTATCAGGACCATAAAGACCATCAAGACAAGTCAACATTTGAACTTGAAGTAGGATTAAGCTATGTGTGAATGCAGCCTTTGTGAATGAATTAGACTAGCTGCATTTTAGAAATAAAGTCCATCCATCCATTTTTTTCCCCTTAATCCATTTTTGGGTCGGGGGGGGGGGGGGGGGGGGGGGGGGTGGCAGTCAGAGCTGTACACATAGCACCAGCCCCCGCCAGGTCCAAAGAAGTGATACTGTTTTATAGGAGGCTAATCATGATTTATAGATAAGACAAGATCAGATAGTGACCTCATCCTCATGTTCATTTACAGACTATTGCATTTCCTGTCTTTGTGCCTGACCTGTAGTGCTCTGGAGCGTGTTTGTCCGTCAGCAGCTGTAGGTAAATGGACTGCGATCTCCTCTTCATGCACCAGTTCTGATCAGCAACACAAACACATTTACATTTCATTTAAACACTAGACACTTTTAAACACACATCTCGATTGTCTTCTAAACGACAGCGCTTTTAAGTCACGCAGAGAGAAGGGAACTAATGTTAAATTAATCTAATCGGTAATGAGATGTGTCTCTGCATTAGGAAGCGTCTCTCGGCTTCGCTGTTTGAAGTCGTGAATTTTAAAAGCTTTTATTGAATCTTTGCTGTGGTTAATGTCTCCGTGTTTTATGATATCGTAGCCCACTTACTTTCAAAGCAGTAAGTGCATTTATACAATTATTACATTTCTGGAGCAAAAACTAGTTGTACGTTCAGGACTCATCTACTCACACCACAGTTTGTGAAACCCTCCTCTATCATGTTGATTAAAGTCTTACCTGTGCGAAGGCGATGAACAGCAGCTGCTCGTGGGTGTATTTAAGTCCAGGGAGGGGTCTCTCTGGGCCGTGCTCCCTCACCCACTTCTGATAGGCCTTCAAAACACAACAATTATTATTTTCTATTTCATTCATGTTTTTTAATTTTTTATTATTATTAATTTGATTATTTTTATTAATTTTTATTTTATTTCCTTTTTATCTTTATTTTATGTATTTAATTTATTTTAATTATTTTATGTATTTATTTTATTTATTTTATTTATTTTATTTATTTTATTTATTTTATTTATTTTATTTATTTTATTTATTTTATTTATTTTATTTATTTTATTTATTTATCCATGTCATCATGTAACATATGTTGTCTTTACATTTGTGCCACATGAACAAACAGGAACAGAAGAGAAGGACAACTAAAACGTTGATATCCTGTCACACCTTTTGCTTCTTGCAAAGACATTTTTTACATTGTAACAGTATTTTTATCACATTTATTTCCTAATACGGCTGTACAATGTTAACATAATATCACAGTTTTCAGATATCCATTGATATTAGATTTGCAATGTCTGTTATGAAGCAAGTATAGTATTCAAAGTGCACAAGGAGTATTACAATTTGACACAAAACTTTATTTGACAATATTCTAACTAACCTTGCCTGCAAGCTGAATTCTCGCGGTATTTGAGAGTTCACAAACACTCGAGAATACATCTTGTACCGCTCCCGCTTACACTTTTCGAGTCGAACCACAGGGTGTGCGAGCCAATCACGCGCCAGTCTGGGGGTTTAGGGCGGGATATCCGGGTTTGACGAAAGCAAGAAGTGCCGGGCCGAAGCAAAACAAACGTGGCTACGCAGGAGGACGGACGCAAAGTCAGTTTTAGCAGAATCTCCAATTTCTTTTTTGAAAGATGAACAGCGAGAGGCGCTTTGTACATTTCTGGACGGCAACCTTGGTAGGCGGGCACACAGCGTCACTTCGCCCAATCAGCTTCAAGTATTCTGCTGCTTACCCCTCCTTTCCCCGAAAGGATTCTCCGGGAGAAATCCCAGATTGATATCGCGGAGAACGCGTTAGAGTTCTACACAATCATCAATCTGGCTTTTGCCAGGTTATATTCTAACGGCAAATTCTCACTGATAATCCCACTGTGCTTTGAGCTAAATTAGGTAAAACTGGGATTACCTTTTCCATTGTAGAATAAACAGTCAAAACACACCCAAAATAAGAGATATCCTACTTTATGTATTTGTTTTGGACATTTGCAGTAATCCCTATATTTCGTTTTGGAGCCGTTAACACTACTAATTTTCTGTTTATAATAATATAATCCATATTTAATTTTCTCCTGTGTGAGATCAATAAAGTCTATCTTATTTTATCTTAACTAATTCTATGGTCACTAAAAATTGCGATTTAGATTTGATTGTGATTTATCATGCAGCCTGTTTCCCACTATTTAAACACGAACACATGGTCAGAGCGTTTTGGGCCTGTGTCTATTGCTTGTTTATGCGTTTGCGTGTTTGTGTGTGTCTGTGTGTTTTGTGTGTGTCTGTGTGTTTTGTGTGTGTGTGAGTGTTTTGTATAACAATAAATATTTACTTCCTCCAAACCCTTTTTAAACTATATTTTAAAAAATGTTCCTGTGTATTTTGTTTGTTCTATGCAATGCTGTGTAAAAATATAAGTTTGAAATAAATACTTACTACTGCAGAACTAAATATAAATACAGAAGTGTTTTTTGTTTTGTTTACAATGACTTACAAAGTAGGAGAGCTTGAGTCCTCCCATGTCGGCGATGTTCTCCCCTAGAGTGAGGCGGCCGTTCACCTGAAAACACAGACACATATTTATATATTTAAATTCATCTTAATTGGATTCGAAGTATGAGAATATGTAAACAAGACTGATACATTCATATTCATAATTAAAAAGTATGCATGTATGCGTTCTTAGTCATATACACACACTTCAGAATAGAGAGGGTTTGGAGTGAAGTCTGAATACACTTTTGAATAGCCGAGTGGCTGCAGGTTTTCATTCCAACCAAGCAGGAGCACACTGGATTCCACCCATTTCTTCAAGTGAGTCCAGTGTGAACCGGAAGACTTGAGGAAATGGGCGGAGTGTGGTATGTGGTGATTTTCTGCAGCTGTGCTTTCTATACACGCATATTTGATTTGTTCACAACATTTATCTTTCTATTGGGACCATCAACATGTGTTATTCATGAAACAAATAGGTTGGGTACCCCAGCTTTAACTTGTCTTTCTTCTTCTCTAAGTACATTACTAATGATGTGCCAAGGGGTCTAGATAGATGGCTATATAGATAGATAAAGAGATTGATAGATAGTGATGTTATTGATGTTTCTCTGTTTTAAAGCTGAGGTACCCAACTCCCAAACCAATACAAATGTACCTATAGTATGTTATCAAATCTACAGTATGTAATCTAAAATCACTCTCATCACTTGTTTTCACATGCATGTATTTTTGGCCTCTGTCACTTTTATGTCTGCTTTTTCAGACATAAAAGTGAAAAAGAAAGAACCACTCATACTCAGCCAATCAACTCTCAGCCCAAAGGGTCAAATAGTGACTCACAGGGCTCTTTCTTACGGGTAAATGCAAAATATTGAAATATTTTCTAGAAAGGGAAAGACATCATGTTGTGGTCTGATTTGCTTTGAAATTGTTACCTTGAAACATTCAAAACCTTATACAACGAATACAACAAAAAGTTAGGAACCCTTGAATGTACCCTTTAACGTTCACTTCTTGAAGAAAGCAGTGAATTTTTTTTTCTTCTAAGATGTAAGAACACTAATAACGCAAATACATATTCTTTTTTCATTATAGGCCTTTCCCAAATGGTTGAGATGCAATTTGATAATAAAAGTGTCTCAAACCAAGTGACAGAGATGCCCCAATGAGGTATAGGTGGAGAAAAGTGAAAATTTAAAAACATTAAAGGGTCTTAAAGGGTAAATACCAACCACACGACCATCACATAAACCCGACTCAAACGCACCTTCTGGTTGTAGACGGTGAAGTTGTCGTAGAGTTTGACGATGCATTCAGCTTTCCTCTGGAACTGCCGGTACGACTCCTCGGTCCACCACTGCTGCAGGTTCCCGAAGCGGTCGTACTGGCCTCCTGGAGACATGAACCATTTCAGCACTGAGGCCAGGAGAGGGCAGCAGTGAGTTAGCAGAAAGAAGCTCACACAACCTGCAACTGCCGCTCACAGTCCACAGAGCCGACAAGACCAGAGCAATTAATTTTGAGTTTTAATTTAATTTAATAAGAGTGTTTGCAGCTCTGTGGAGTCCAAGCAACAGTTGAGATTGTGTCGTTACATGACACATCTCAGAAGTGGAAAGTTGGAAGAATTAAAGCTGATCTATGTAACTTTTTTAGTGGAGAGTGCAGCGAATGCTTTTGTATGGGAATGGTCCAAAATACCACATAAAACTGGTGTATTTAATTAGATTTAGGCTTTTTTTTGTGAATCAGGGGTTTTATAGGAATGAGAACTTAAAGCTGGGGTACTGAACCTTTATATCACAAAAGATGGAGCTAAAATCGATCTGCTGATAAATAGTTCCTTTTTCTTTTTTGGCTCTATAACAAGTTCACATCTTTTGGCCTCTTTCACATCACTCGGCCAATCAGCTCTCAGCCCAAACCGCCAAATAGTGATCCTTCAGGGCTCTTTCATATTCTAATATTCTACGTTTTTATAGTTTTCATAATACATTTTCAAAATCTGCCCATAAATACAGTCAGTAAAATGCCATAGTGTGGGACATTCCAGACATTCAAGCATTATCAAAATCAGAACTCGGTAACTTTCCACTTCTGGGATAAATATTAGTTATAAAAAAACACAAAACATCGTCATGACCTCAGAATATGAAGAATGGAACTTGAACGATTTAGCCTTGTCCCTTCATTGTATTATTATCATTGTTAGGATTTGGTTTTCTACAGGGCACTCATAAAAACACAGCGTCTCTCATTGAGTTTCCCTCGTTTCAGATATATAAATAAATGTAAAACTGTACAATGAAGCACAGGAAGTTAGGGTTAGGATTCAAACAACTATCTTCCTGCAGTATGTTATAAAATGGTGAATGGTAAATGAGGACATGGCATTAAAGTTTTAATCAGCATGCGGATGAACGGTTGAAAAAGGTTTAGTATATGACATTTTACTTATTTATTTAAAGAACCAATATCGTACCTTATTTGTATTGATTTGACCACATATGCTGCAGTTGTGATCGTAAGGAAAGAAAGTAATCTGACTGGAGAATTTACCTAAAAACTAATCTTCAGTCTATACTTTTGTTTTACAAGGCAGAAAATGGCTCTGTCCTTGATAGCGTAACAAATTGTCAAAAGGAGCATCTGGACAGAAGGGGTGGGGACTCGATTGTGCCATTCTAGCCAAAAGGTCGTAATGTTAGCATGGGTGGAGCAAAAAACAACTCCAGATTTGTTTATGAAGTTAATTTTCTATAATATGCGTTATTTAAAGCTGGAGTACCTGACTTTTTATCCATAAAATAATCCATTTATTCAACCCAACAGAAATAGTCTTACTCTTTTATCTAATTAGAAAACATTAAATCTTTGGCGACTTTTAAAAAACAAAAGAAAATCCCTGTCATTAGTTGACGCTTTAGGCTGCGAGCTGATTGGCAGACAGAAGGTGGTCCTCACTTTTGTATCTTTACGTCTGAAAAAGCTGATCTAAAAGATGGGAGGCCAAAATATACAGTACATGCAGAAGAACTATTTTGATGGATTTTATTATGTCAATATGTGTTATGGATTGGAAGTTAGGTACCCCAGCTTTATTCTTTGAAGGAGTTTATTTGAATGACAGTTTGAAATGTTAGAGTTGGTTTGATGTCTGTTATGACCGTCGTGATCGATAGTTACCCCAGTCGTCGTATCCGTGTGTGAGCTCGTGTCCGATGATCGCTCCTATCCCTCCATAATTCAGAGATCTGCGTCAAAAACGAGAAATATATCATGAATTTTCCAAAGAATCAGCCGCAACTTTACATAAACTTGTTTGTTCTGCCTGTGCATTTACCGCCAACCCAACTGCATTTAGCATGGAGAATATGTTCCACATTAAAACCAACATATAATGACAAAGTAGTGCATATAAAAGTGTGTATGGAGCATTCTATTTCACAGCTCAATGCATTTACTGTGTTCAGTCAAAAGTAATTTGTTAAAATCACGTACAACAGCTATAATAATGATTACCTTTGAAGGCCGGGGAAAGTGGTAAAGTGCATGGAAAAACTTGCATAACTTTTATGAACCAATTTGTATTTTTGGCAACAATTTTGGGGCCATTTTCTATCAACCTTGTACCAATTTTTAAATCAGAGGTTTTAGCAGACCAGCGATAATCATTTTTAAAATGCAAATACACCGAGATATTAAATCAAATTACAATAGTTTTTGTTTTTTTGCCAACAGCTGTTTTGTTAACATGCACAACTCTCAAAACAAAGAACAGGAATGTCAGGACTTAAAGCAAGGTTACTTCACTTTTTGTGTCATAAATATGTCCCCCAAAAAAAGAGTAAGTTCAATGTTGTGAATGAAATGGACCACAACTGGCTGTGATCGTTGAACTAGATAAAAACCCCAAATACTTTTGTATAAGAAAGAGCCCTGTGAGTAACTATTTGACACTTTGGGCTGAAAGCAAGCCCCGGCGATCCAAGATGGTGCCGTATTCAAATAAATGGTTTGTGCTTAGTGGCGCATGTGCCGGCACGGGCGCCGAAAGATTAGCGGAAGTTGCTTGGAATTCGCAAAGATCCATGGGAACTCGCCTGTATTTGGGCATCGTCTGGTCCTCCCGGTTCTGCGCAATGGATGATCTCCCATAATGCGTTGCGGCAAATACGCGTGTGTGGCCCTCATGCACATGCACAGAGGGGCTCGGCCGCGCTTTGACCAATCAGCGCTGCTCATCAGAGCGGGAGTTAGAGCCAGATGGGCAGAGTTTGTGGCACTAAAGTGTGGATTAAAAGAAAACCGAAGGATTTAAGAAGGGGACACTAAAATCCCCACAAAATCCGACCTTTATAAAAGCTGTAGGTTCTCTGTCAGTTGAGGTCGTGCTGTTTTAATTTACACTGAGTTCTATGGGGAAACGTTCTGGGTAGCCCACATGAATTTAGTCTGGTTTAGTCTGCAGTACCGCGAGAATCCCCCGAGCACATGCGTCCTTCTGCTACAAGCTAGTAATACCCTATCCAGTTATTATAATAGAGCCATGGCAGAAAGTTAATTGGCCCACAACTGTCCTTCAAACTTTTCTGTCTGAAAAAGTTGTTCTAAAGATGTGACTGAGGAACTCTACATGGACTTTCATCATATTACCTTGTTTGTTGTTTGAAAATTCAGATTAAGATTAAAAAAAATATTTATTTGTCCTACAGTGGGGAAATTTCAGTGTTGCATCACCAGTTTCAGAACAGTAGGAAAGGAGCACACAACACAATATAAATTAACTATAATACTCTATATCATAATAAAATATCTAAGTTTAGCACTGTATCTCTCTAGCTTTAGCAAAATAAAGACGCAAGTACAGTATTAAATCTCTAGCTTTAGCGTGATAAGGAAACAGGTATAAAATCTCCAACTTTAGCATAATCAAGATACATAAGAACAATAAGTTTGGGTATCCCTGCTTAAACTGAACAAGAAAATTAATTGACATTTAAGTTTAACATCCGAGTGCTCTCCCTCGCCTCCTCCTCCTCTCTCTCTCAGATTATCGGTGTGTGTGGTTCATGCAGATACAGACGCTGCTCATTGAATTTGTTACGATGACTTTCTGACAGATCCTCGATGGCCTCACACTGCGCCAAACCACATTCACAGGCTGCATGGGATGGCGAAAGTGAGAGGACGCTCTTGTTTGTATATTTTACTAGAGTATGAGACAAATCACAGGTTAAACCAGGAGGAAATACGACACTTATTTCCTATTTGGCGATGGGGTTAAATTTGTGTGGGAACTTGTGACTTTTGATGTTTGTTTGATTCAGGTCCATCCATCCATTTTCTTTCCCTTAATCCATTTCCGGGTCAGGGGTGGGGGGTTGCAGTCAGAGATGGACCCAGTACACAGAGCACCAGCCCCTCACTGATCCTCCTGCAGGTGCTGAGTCCACAGGAGCTGAGATCTTTCAGTGGGGGCTTCAGGCAAAGTGGGGTTAAGTGTCTTGCCCAAGGACACAACTACAGCAGGCATCAGCGGAAACAGTGGAAAAGATCTTGATCGCTTGAACCCACGACCTTCAGGCCCAAAGCCTAACGCTTTACCAACTGAGCCACTGTTGCCCCTAATTCAGGTCTTAATCCTTGAATGTTCACTCCTTGAAGAAAGCAAAGTATTTTTGTTCTTTTTTGAACCCCTAGTTTTTTAAATTTGGGCCTTCACCAAATGGTTAAGATGCAGTTTGATGGTAAAAGTGGCCCATAAAGATAGATTTCAATTCCAAGCTTAGAAGTGTTAATTCAGCTCAGACACACATTTAACCGTAAACTCCAATTGGTCAGCCTATGTATGTAAATTCACATTAATTTTTTGCCCCAAGAAAATGAGTAAATATTACAAGAGCGATGATCTTATAATATTTACCATTTTTATTCTGGATCTTAGAATTTAAATGGACTTTGTGTAACATGCACAGCTAGTGGTCAAATGTATAATCACCAACAAAAACATATTTCCTCCTGTGACACATGTGGAACGCAATGGAATGCTATGGCTAACACGTCTCACACATCCCTTGGTATCAGACGGATCAATTATATCTGATTTGTATGCAAGGGGGAAGTTATAGCAGCAGTAGTTATCGGCTCTAATGAATGTATAGAAAGGTTAGCTAAATGCAAAATCCACTGCGTTTACAACCTGCCTAATTATCTCTCACGGAAAGCACCGCTATTCTCAGGAGAAATACAAAGAAACACGTTGTAAATTGTCCATATTGGCTGAATGCGCTATATAAAGGAAGTTACTTTGCCTCGTAATGAATGGGTCTGCTAACAAGGGCTGGATTTTCACCTTTATTAAGTTGACACATTCCTCACTTTACAGGCTTAGAAAACACCAGTTGTTTAGTAATTAGAGACCGAGACTGGCTTTAAATGTGTCTGTTTTTATTCACAAATACATTTACTTTGTTGGTAATGAGGCAGTGTAATGAGAGTCTTTCTGTGGTTTTGTTTAATACATTTGAGAGCGGATCTGATTGACCCAGTAGAATACGTGTGTGTAGTCTGTATACCTGTCATTTTGCATGTAATTTAATCTGTCTTTTGTGTTTATGTGCAACTTTGCTGCCTCTTGGCCAGGACTCCCTTGAAAAAAAGGTCCTTAAATTCAATGAGATTTTTCTTTTTTTAGGTCTGTGATTGTTTGTATGATTAGTTGCATTTCAAATAAGAGAATCAACAACTACTTGCTGATGCAGCTGCGTCTAAGGACAGTGATGATCCAGGGCATTAATTTACATTTATGGGCATTGGTCATCCCGCTCTCTATGGACCAATGGCTCTATGTGTTTGTTATTATTGTATTTATGTGTTCGATCTGTTGCTGGCGAATCCACAAATGTTATGTCCACTGAGACGCCTGCTGTTGTGATTTAGGGCTATACAAAAATAAATTTAATTGAATACCAACCCAGGCTGGCAGTCGCTATTATATTTTAGGTATAGCTATGGTAGAAATCTTTGAAACTATAGTAGAGAGTAAAACATCCTTCTATAACAGAGATAATGCATTTGTGGTCAAAGGCAAAGCTGGCAGTTTGAATCAGCAGAGACATTCTGTTCTGCATTACATTTTTGCAACTAAAACAAAAGCACATTGTCCAAATATATTTTAGGAAGCAAAATATTAAAGCTGAGGTACCTGACTTCATTCCAGCCCACTGCATGTACAATGATACACATCCTTTTTACTTTAAACAGCAGTAGTGATCCCCCCCAAACTACACTCTAATGTTACCTTTTAATCATTTGGAATGCATAATATCAAATTTGCAAGACATATAAGCAAGAAATATTTCACCTAATACATATATATTTTGATATAATTCTTTTTTTCTCTCAATATATCGCTATATCTTAAAACTACAACCCTGGATTTGAAAATTTTCTGAAAACGTGTATTTGTGATAGTACAAGAATGAATTAATGAAAGATAGTATTTCATTTCTCACCATAAAACCATACACCAAAACCCCAAATTCAAGTGGATATTAGAACACTAGAAATGCAAAATATAGTCTAATCTAATCTTTTCATTTGCCTATTAATTCCAGCAGACCTTAGTACAGTAATCATAGCACTAATACTGTGTGCAGCAGGAAAATGCGGTTAATTGCTGCTGATTTTGACATTTTTTTGTTATCTTACTTCAATAAATAACACCTTTTTTTTTGGAAGTAGTCAAATAAAATGAAAAGCTGTTTTTGTTGACTCCCGTCGCCGCTGCAGCTGATTACTCTCGAGGCTCGCGGTTCAATGACACCTGTCCCGTTAGCAGGACCTTGTGCTTAATTGAGCGCTCGGTGGGTAGTTAGACCGGCCCTGATCAGATGTGCTGGGACCGAAGTGGACCAGAGGTTATAGACACATGCAGGGAGCTTCTAACCAGGCTGTGTGAGCAGACTGCCCCCTGTGGTAGTGAGAGGAACACCAGAGGAGAGGACGACACTTACTGTGGGAACTCTGGGTTGTAGAGAGTGGGTTGAAGGATGCCGGCAGGAAAGACTGGAAAACAAACAACAAGGTTTTTTTTGTTTTTGTTTTACAACGTTTACATTTTGTGTTTTATGTTTTCCAGGGAGTGATAAAGGGCAGGGGTTCTCACAGTTTTCAGTCTGGGATCCACAAAAACAGTCTCAAAGCATATTCAATCCACTGTTTTGTTGTAGATTTGATTCCGATATTGTCTTTTTAATATCTAACAACTTAAATTATCGCGTTTTGTGCCAGCCAATTGGTGAAATACATTGAAACTATTTTAGAATTGTATCTTGAAATGAATCTTGAATACTGATAAGGAGCTTAAAGATCAGATGAGAGGTCTGTTCCATGCAAATAAAATACACAGTACAAATTTTAAATCAAAAGCACAGTCGCATATAGGACTAAAATCCATCTTACTGAAAAAATGTCCAGATAATAACATTTACAATTGAATTGTATAGAATAACCAAACAATTGAATCTACAAAAAAGACCACATGAACCTTCCTAAACTAGAACTAAAAACTGTTTTCCACGTCACTTCCAGAGATACCTTCTCAGCCACGCACTGATCATTCATTTAAATGGGAAATTGGACTGTTTGCATGATCCATTACTTTCGCAGCGACGAGTGACGCAGGGAAACAACTATTTTGAGCTGATTCTTTATATTCAGAGAGACAGTCAGAGTCCAATGCATAAAACTATGGCGGACGGTAACAAATATATGGTTAATTAATGTTATGGCAAAAACTTATCTTGAAATTACTTTGGTTTATATTGTGTTTCCAGGAGGACAGCTCGGTCAGCGTCATTAGTGCTTTGATCTGCGCCTTCTGTGCTCGGCCTTTGCTTGAGCCTTTTGGATCTGTTGGTTAAAAACCCCCAGGGGGGTACAGGTTCTCTACTGTGCATTGTGCCAACTCGTTTGAACGCATCACTGTCCAACACCTTTAACTCTAAGGGATATAATCTCTTGTCTGGTGGTTAGTGTGCCCTGTCTGATTAGAGCAAAAATCACTCAGGCAAAAATAAGCCAATGCATGGAAACCCGTAGTTTCGTACTTTTTTGTTGGAGCTTTGTCACAAGCCAACAAAACCGACGCGCTTTAAGGTCCCAAGAAACCTCTAAACATCGTATTAGGTCAATGTTGTGAGGTGCCATTTCTTATGGGTCTGTACATGTACCTGGAGCAATCCATCAATACAATCCAGTTTATTTATAAAGCACTAATAAAAAACAACATGTTGACAAAAGTGTGCTCGTACATAAAAGAGAATACACAAATATAAATTTAAGAAATACAAAAACCAGTGGCAAAAAAAACCACTATTTACAGCAAAAAATTCATTGAAATCAATTAAAAAGCCAATGAGTACAAGTGTTGGTCTTAAGACGAGACTTTAAAAACAGGAAGTGACATCAGACCAGTCTCACAAACAGGGGCCCATAGGTCCATTGTTCCATCGTTTAGGACAACACCGAATAGATCGATCTCCCTCTGAGTTTTCCGTTTAGTCGGAGGAGGAAACCAGAGCAGTGCCTGAGTCTGCCGACCTAAGAGAAACGTGTGGAGCATAGGGTCGTCAGCTTAGTAGGTCAGACAGATAGCGCGGAGCAAGGCCATTTCAGGATTTATATACAAAAGAGGACTTTAGATTAAGGCCATTCAGGGCATTTATATACTAAACAGAAGGACTTTAAATCAACTCCGGGGTAGCGAACAGGAAGCCAATGAAGTGATGCCAGGGGTCCGGAGAGATATGGTCAAAATTACGAGTTCCTGTCAACAGGACGCGCCGCATGCGTTCTGTACCAGCTGCAGACGAGCTATAGTGAGGATGGTGATCCTGTGTACAAGGCGTTACAATAGTCCTAGCCGAGTTGTAACAAAGGTGAATTAAAATTTCAAAATGCTGTTTGAAAGGGAGGACTTTATTTTAGCCAAGTTGCCATTAAATGGAAGGAAACTAGACTTCACTAACTGCACTTATTGTGTTTATAAATTTATTAAAAAATCAGCATCCATTTTCACTCCAGGTTTGATAACTATGGCTTAACAAATTGTGTTAGAGGTCCCAGGTCCACGGAGAACTGCTGCCATTGCTGGGCAGCGACCAGCAGAACGTCACTCTTTTTTTCTTATTTTGAAATGCTCAAAAGTTTGCTGCCATCACATTTTGATTTCAGATTTGCACTCGAGAAGTTCGGTGCTGCAAAGTTATTGCTAACGCTTAAGGGGCACATAGTTTTGGCTGTCATCTGCGTACAGGTGGAATGACACCCCCAAACCTCCGGAGGTAGTTCCTAATGGCAACAGAGATACAAAAGTATGGAGTGGTCCAAGGATGGATCCATTGCGGCTCCCAACACGGACTGGGGGGCTGTGGTGGAAACAAAGTCACACTCTACACAGAAACTCCTATATCTCAGATTTGATAGGAACCATTCCAGAGCATAGCCCTGAATGCCGAGTGTTCAAGGAGACACAGGTGGGTTTCATGATCCACTGTGTCAAATGCGGCGGTCAAGTCCAGCGGTACCTAGCGCAACCGTGAGGCCAAGAGTCAGTTGGATCATCAGGATATCATTATAAACTCGTAACTACGCTGACTCTGTATGTGGAGGTTCCTTGTAACCAGTCTGGAACATCCTCAGGAATCTCATTTTCATCTGGAGAAATGACTTTCTCTGAGCCTTCTCAAGGTGGACACTCACTCTGAGGGACCATCCTTATATGTCATTAGGCCTTTACAGGAAAAGGACCATCTTAACAAAGGCCTTACCTGGATTATCGCCCAACAAATTCAAAAATATGTTTGATGACATATGACGTGCACTGTGTATCAAAAAGTACAACAGCAGCAACAAACATGCAGCTCTAAAATATGACTCATGGCACACAAAAATCAACAAATTGTGTGCTTAATCTGAAAAACCTTTTGGACCCTGGCCCTCAAGGCTCCAGCCCTTGTTAGGTCCAGTGGATATTCGTTGATTACAGTTTGTATTTATTACCAGGTGAAATTCTGTGAATACAGGGGGAAAGGGAGGTGTGTTGTTTACTCACATCGTTTTTCACCACATGAAAGACGGAAACGTCGTACGAAAATAAAGCATCCAAACACACTTTCTGGACTTTTAAAGGTCAGTCTTCTGAAGTCACAGCGCGGGTAGAACATTTTCCAATCATCTTGTTGGTTTATGTCTGTTGTTTTCTAAAACCTCCTCTGATCCACCAATCGCGTCAGGCTTTGAGGGTTTCTACACTTCTTCTTCATTTTTTCTACCTTGTGAGGCCCGTTTAAAAAGGCAAGTCGTTTAACCCACCAGCCGTGTTGCTCAGTGGTAAGGAAGTAGCGACCTGGGGGTTTAGGACCAAAAAACTATTTCTGCTCAGAAGGAAAGTTTGGTGATTTCAAACTAAAGCTTTTTAAACTTTAAAAGATGTTATTGAAAAATAAATATGAATAATGGGTTTAGGGTGTTTACTTGGTTTTACTGACATTTCCATGAACCCCTGTGTCTGTCACAGTTAGTGAAGTGGGAGGAGATCCTCTGAATGATGGTTCAGGTTCAGGCTCAGGACAATATATAGGGAGGAGGCCCTGATGCTAATGCACGAGTCTCAGTCATTAGACCTTTACGAGATTTAATATTATGGAATGATGTGATTTGCATGCACTGCCTCTACTAAGAAAAACATCAAAATAACCAAGCACTGCTCCTGATCAGTCTTATCCCACATTTTCCACACAAATCATAATTATGACATAGCTTTGAATTGAAAACCGACATTTGAAGTGAAAAGGCCATTTGAGGGCCATTGAAGATGGATTTCAGATGAAAGCCACTCTTGCTTCACGATTTCTGTTTAATACATATGAATTGAAAAATCATCAGCTGCTTGTGCACTTTACCAGAATTATACAGTTTGACTATGAATTTTTTTAAAGATCAAAATCATGTGTTGTGGGTTTACATTGAGTCCGCTTTCAGTCCTATTTACAGTTATCTGTCTTAAATCCCCTTGTGTCACCAAAACCTAAATACTCTTGTTACCAAAATATATGGTACAAAAGGTTTACATTTATACAGAGATTATGTAATGCAGCGTGGCATCATTAGTCGTTCTATGCTTGATTCTGCAGAGTCAGAGAACACTGCAGGGATGTGTGGAATAAAATCTGTTTTAATCAATATATTTCCCTTTAGAATCTGTAGAAAATGTAACACTTCGCCAAACCAAAGTGCGCATCCTGAAGAAGTTACATTGAATGTTATTCTAATCTTGGGTGTGGAAAAAATACATATGTGTGGGAAAATATAATACAGAATAATAAAAACTTTTTTCTTGAATGTGTGTATATTTCGTTGATGGATTCAGAGTTATTCCAATCCTCAAAAAATCAACAGGGAAAACAATGAGCATACAAAGGAATACAATGAAATATTTGTATTTGGGACACAATCCTACAATTAATTAGTTGCTGTATTATTGGACACATGCATAAGAAAACATTGGCTCATATTGGTTAGTCACAGCACGGTAACACAGTATATGTGCTGATATTTTTCACAGAGGCATCAATTTTCCCTTCTCTGCATCATTTAAATGTTTCACAATATTTGCTTTCGCAACACTGGAACATGTTTGCCAGTGCACACACACATTCTTCCTCTATGCTGTCCTCGAATCTGCCCCACAGTCGGGAACAGCAATCGTCTCCGATAAATACTTTTTGTACTTTGAGGGGAGGTTTTGTCATCAGAATGTCACCTACTGTATCAATGGCCTGCACAACACTCATTTCAACTTCCCCCAAACCCATGCTGTGATACACAATTGTGTATTTTTAGTCTAAGGAAAATACAGCAGCATGGATTTGGAGACGGTCAACCCATTTTCTGACATATGCAAATGGGTAAGTACAAGACTCAATATGGCAGAGTGGGGATGTCTTGAAGAAACTGAAAAAATCGGATTTTCTTGACTTTTGTAGTGTGCCAGTGAATGAAAGTAGAAAAAATGCATTTGAAAAAAAAAAACCAGGCTTTGATCTAATTGCCGGGATCCCAGTCACTGTCACAGTTTTTTCCCTCAGTAACATGATTGATTAATGAGGGCAATTGAGTGTATGCTGACAATGCCCCAATACCATTGTGCATTAGGTGAACAGATCTCATTGATGCCAACTGTATTGAGCAGTTTATGCTTATTCGTTTGATTTAATCCTCACAGGCATCTGCAGCTACTTTTCCTAAGAGAGTTATTTCGGAATTGTTTAAAAAGTATTGTTACTTAATCTGACTTTATTGATATTGTCAAACATGAATGTATTCGTACTAGTGATGGGCAATTATATTGTCGGAGATCCATGGGATTGATTTCATTAGATTTTTATGTGGGTTCTGCATACGGTTTTGTAGGGAAACAATGGACTTCTAGCTCTAGTCTTGAAAGGAATTGTCTAAAAATTGAGTTTTAATTGAATCCAGGAAGGAGAGAGAAGAAGCACTATTATAGGCCCATGATGAAAATTCTCTATTCTGCTATTTTGGTGGAGTGGTGGGGGAAGTTTGAGTGGCATGTGCTGCATGTGAGAAAAGCCTGGTCACACTTGATTGCTTTGGTAATTCACTGCTTTTTTCTTTTCCCAAGACATTATGTATTAGTCTAAATTTCATTTGTTTGTGAGGATGTGTTGTGCCTTTGTTTTACAGAGGATTTATTTTCCTGTTCTCAGGCTATAATTTTGTGTATTGTCCCCTCCCAAGAAGAAATTATTAAGTATGGCATTTTTAAAGTTTTACATGAGAGCTTGAAGGTTATAAGGTCATAGGATTTATCTGATTATATATTTTGGTTGCACATGTCTTAAGAAACATATTTATTGTGCCTTTGTGGAAAACAAAAACATTATTATAAAAATAACAACCTCGTTGGACTAGGTTTATCAGTGGTGTGAGCGTGGTGCACCTGGTGGATGAAAAGGAGAAAACATCGGAATCTTGAAACTTTTTTTGCGGGAAATGATTCATGTGAGATCTGTGATTTGGCCTTTTGCCTGATGTTTATTTGCCTTCACGTTTTATCTAATGTTGGGCTAATAAATTAAAACATATAGGCTATCGTTGATAATTCAGCAATAAAAAAACGATACAAAACTGCCAGTTTTGTAGAGTGGTGGTCTAAGGGGCCAATAGCAATGATTGTGAGGCCACCAGGGCAGCCTGCTGCACCACTGTAGTGTGGACGGAATGGTTATACTACTACTACGACTAAAAGGTATCTGATTGTGCATAATGCACATTTGTTCTCAATATCATTGCTTAGAAGTTTCACAATTTGGATGTTGAAGTGCTGCTGTAAGGAGCTCGGCCTTTGATTCGATTCAGGATTCATTTATTTGCATTTGCAGGTAAAACCACATTGGAAAAATAACTGGGCAAAGGACTTACCCCGGTGTGCACCAGACGACACACACCAGAGCTTCTTGCCACGGCGCCATCTTTACGGCGCATGCGACTTGATGATGTTGAATTGGTATCATGAAGATTAATCCCCATGGTACCAAGTCTTTTTTTTGTACAATGGGGGACATTCAGTTTCCAGTGTTCAAAGATTACAAACTGTACTTCTACAGGCTCCATTGTATTATCATATTCATGTATTCATATTCATTACATGTCTTTCTACTACTACAGCAATTACATTATGATACTACAGCTGCGGTTAACAGAAAACCTATTACTGTGAGAGAATGGGCTGGTAGAGTATGAGCAAAGGGGCCGCTTATGTTCATAAACCCATCAGTGTTTCTATGTCAACGTGCTGAATTTTGGATGAACGGACTTTAGAATGGGCAACATGCTCATTAAAACTTCATATCAAAAAGATTAAAAGCCTAGTTTGTATTAGGGATCATCGGTGTCCTCCTACTGACCATCAACATCAACTGATCAGTCTTTTCATAATCTCAAAGGTTACTGCCTTTACCGGTGATACTTTACCTTTAATTCAAAAGAATTAACCAAACAATGAATTAAGTTGTCCTTTTAGTGTATCTGTCTCTAAACTCCATTTATTTTTACCAGGAATCCAAATTTTTTTTTTATGAAAATGTTTTGTCATTGCATATATTATAACCATACATTTAAACTAAAGAGACATGGCAACCTTCTCAAATATTTCTATTCAAAATTGTAAGTATCTATTGATTTTTATGTCCTTATGGGTATTAATGTATGTAACACCAAAACGTTTTAAATTATGTAACGATCTTTTATTTGTTTTGTGCAACAACTTTGGGACAACAAATCTTATCCAGAGAGCATATATCTGCAAGTTGAAATTGAATGCAAGAAATATGCAATAACTGACATTGGGTGACATTGATAGTGAATCCTGCATAAGCAGAGATAGCATGCACCAAGATGTTCTAATTTCCATGTCACGTCAATTACAATTTATTCCGAATAATTTCATTTTCATTCATCCTGCACTAACACTGGCTCACTTCAGCTTTTGTATGTGAGCCTTTGTGTCAAGTGCTGGGACTCATTAATATTTGATGCTG